ATTTAAGGTCAAGTCGCACTCCTCCCCTTAGTTCTCCGCTGCTTGCTGAGCCGCCATTGCCCATAGGAATCACTTCTTTCACATATTTCGTAGCGACATGTCGGGCTGCAATAGACGTCTCTTTGCCTCCGCCCGTAACGAGTGTAAGCGTGTCCTCAACGAAGCTAAGTCAAAATTCGGCTCCAAAGACTATTGGTGGCTCTCCAAGAGTGTCCTGAACAATCGAAAACCCTCCATACCTCCGTTATTCAACCACTTCGAGGTCTTGACCTCCTCTACCGACAAGGCTGAATGCTTTGCTCGGAAATTCTCATTTAATTCAAAGCTCGACTCCACCGGTGGACCCATACCAGACTTCCCTCTAAGAACTGAGGCCCTATTGAGCGGCTTATGCATAACCCCGTCATTGGTACTGGGCATTATCTCCAATTTAGACCCCAACAAGGTCAGTGGTGGAGATGGCATACCAGCCATTGTCTTGAAGAAATGCGCGCCTGAGCTAGCGCCCGCCCTCTTTAAACTGTATAATTACTGCCTCAAGGAATCCTGTTTTCCTGACTGCTGGAAGTCCTCATCCATTGTTCCTGTCTTTAAGAACTCTGGAGACCCCTCTCACCCATGTAATTACCGTCCTATTAGTCTCCTACCCCTCTTCGGCAAAGTCTGCGAAGCCCTAATCAATGCCGAAGTGGTTAACCACCTTACATCTCATGATCTACTCTCAGGCAAGCAATATGATTTCCGCTACGCCCGATCTACAGCTGATGTGCTTACGGCCATCACTGAAACCGTCTACCAAGCCCTTCAAAATAACGATGAGGCTCGTGCCGTGGCCCTAAACATCTCCAAAGTGTTTGATAGGGTTTGTCATGCCGGCCTTCTTCGTAAGCTCCAGGGTTATGGTATTACAGGTCGATTGTTTGATCTAATACAATCATTCCTGTCAAACCGTGAATTGAAGGTCGTTCTCAACGGATTCTCCTCCAGTTCCTATCCCACGAACGCAGGTGTTCCCCAAGGCTCCATCCTTGGCCCCACTCTTTTCCTTATTTTCATCAACGACCTTCCTGACGCCATAGATTCCCAAGTTGGCATCTACGCAGACGACACTACAATTTACTCCTGCCTCAAAAACAAATCTAGTGTCGGTGACAAAACTAACCTGGCCGTGCGTCTTGAAATGGACCTCCAATCGGTTGTTAATTGGGACAAGAATTGGCTGGTCAACTTTAACGCCACAAAAACTAAACTACTCTCCATTAACTACCATAGAGATCCTCCCACCCCATTAAAATGTCTGATAGCCAACTTCCTGAGAGCAACTTCCTGCGTCTGCTCGGTCTCACGTTGACTGCTGACCTGAGATGGAACAAATACATTGAGTCAATTGCTTCTTCCACCGCGAGGAAAGTTGGCTCTCTGTGCCGCGCCAGGAAATTTTTCTCCCCGGAATCGATACTTCAAATATACAAAACAACCATTCGCCCTTGCATGGAGTATTGCTGCCATATGTGGTCTGTGGCACCTTCTGTTTACCTCGGAGTTCTTGACAAGATCCAGAGACGGATATGTAATATAATTGGCCCTGATCTGGCATCTCGTCTACAGTCACTCTCTCACAGACGCGCCGTCGCCTCTCTCTGTCTTTTCTACAAATACTTTCATGGTAATTTCTCCGATGAACTGCTTTCACTGGTTTCCAGACTCCATGAATTCAAGCGCCTTACGAGGCTGGCATCCCGCTCCCACCCTTACACTGTAGAAACTTTTAAATGTAGCCGTCTCTTCTACTCCAATAGCTTCATACCTCGCACCTCTCGCCTGTGGAACACCCTTCCCAATTACTGTTTCCCTGAGAGCTATAATCTCCAACTATTCAAATGTAATGTCAATCGACATCTCCAGTTACCTTGATCTACCCACTATCCTTCTCCTCATCCTTTCTTCTATCACTCCTGTCTGCTCTCGCTTCAAATCTTCTGCAACCCCCTGCATCCTAGTGGCTTCACGCCTTGCTAGGGGCGTACTGCTTAAAAAAAAAAAAAAAACACCCTCGGTGTCTTATCAAGTGATGATGTTGAATATAAAATAAATGGTTTTAAAAATTTCAAATGAATTAACGATCCTTCGCTAGGGGAAAACATTGTTACAAAAGCTAGAATGACCAATCAAAACCCAAGTATAGGAAGATTCAACGAAATCATGTTATAATAGCTATTGAGATCTTTAAAATACGGGTAATATTAAAAAAAGAATTTATTCTAAGCAATAATTATTAAATTATATGATAAAATTTGATATTAAAATTAAAAACTGCCAATTTTAAAATCCAAATTTAATCACTCTTAAGTTTAAAAAACTATAAAATTACTGAGGAGAAAAAAAAAAATACATATGTTATTCAATTTATTTCTTCGTTGAAATTACGTTAGAACAGACGCTACAATATCCGGTCATCCGACAATACATGTATATATATTTTAATCCCAAGTGTGTGAATGGGGTCTTAAACTCACGCGCAAAACAACACAAACACAATCAGATTATAATACATAAGCATCCAGACATATTTAGATATATATACACACAAAAAAGCGACGAGACAGGAACATCTCCACGGCACTTTATGAAAAAAAAAAGGAAACGGGGAAACCAACACCTACACACACACGCACAATTAAAAGTGAATGCACTTTCCATACACATAGACACCGATAAATAAATGTACACACATCCACAGACATTGACCTTGACAATCAGATACCACAACCAATAAATATTCAAGACTGAAAGTATCATTAAACAAATACTAGCCACTTATTAAAATATAACTTAAGCGAGCAAATATACAAAGATAAAAATGGTTAAAAATAATATTATTTAATATATTAAAACGAAAATTCCCAAACCACAAATATCAATAAAAACATATATTTTAATCATATAAGTTGATAATAGTTTTATTATATATTAGGCGAAGGAAAACAGGATAAAAAGAAAACCTACAGAAATAAGTGTACCGTCATACGTATATACATATATACACATATATACACGCGGCAGCAAAGACAAAAAAACACATATACATACACACACACACACACATACATATATATATATATATATATATATATATACATATATATATATATATATATATACATATATATACACACACAGAAATACATACATATAAATATATAAACATAAACATATACATATCTATGATAAGTACACATACGCATACATACATATAAACATATATACACACATATATACACACATTTATGCACACATACTCACATATACACATATATACACGCACCAATACACATATGAACATATATACACACATAGACTAACTACTGTGGCACTAATGACATACCAAAGTTTCCATACCTACACACACACACACACAAACAATCTCATATATAATAGGTGTCAACAGACACATATACATCCACAAACATAATATCTACATATAAACATATACATAAATATACCTATCTATAATAACAAGTGCCTATATATACGTACATACATATAAATACGACATTCAACAAAATACACATATAAACATACATCCATACATATATGCAATATACATATACTAACATATATACATTCGTACAAACAGAAAACATATATTTAAACACATTCATACAAACAGAAATAAATACATACACAAATATACACATAAATTTATATACACAATAAAATAGGACACATAATGATATACTATATATACACACACACATGCACGAGGTGTTTATATATATATATATATATATATATATATATATATATATATATATATGTGTATATACATATATACACACACATGCACAAATACACACACATACACATATACATCAACATTTTTTAAACCTCTTCTCTTCTTCTCCTCTTCACCTTCTTACTTTATATATACATATACACACATATATATAAACATATACACACATATATATATATATAAAAAATCAAAAACACCAACATATAAATACACTTATATACAAACATACACATTCCTCAGTGCAAACACGCTAACCTACACATAAATAAATATATACACATATACACCAACACTAATAACACTATGTAGGTAAACAATACACATTCATATCGTCAGTATGACCATCAGGCAATAAAAATACTAATCTATTAAAATTACAGCGACATATCATTATCATTTAAAGTATACGACCCCTACACTAAGTTAAATTTATAACGGTGTTTACAATTAACTGTAAGTTCATATCTTTTATTTAAGAGATCAGGCTTGTTTTTAAATCTAATAATTTCAAATTTTTCGTTAAGGCATAGGTAACATGGGGAATATAGGGAGTTACATGTCCGGACTTTCTTAATCAAACTCCATTTAACCGTAGGTGTTTTGTTCTTTTCTTTCAGATTCCAAAAATACTTGGATAATGAAGTCATGTACCTATAGTCACTGTGATTAAAAGATTGCATATGCCCCCGCCATTTTCATGGTGCTGCCAATGTAAATTTTTTTTTATATTTGGATTTTCAATTGTTGAAATAGTACTAAGATAGACTACAGAACTAATCCTACAGTTATTTTGTAGTGGACAATTATTAGGATTCCTACAATTACATAAGTTGTTATTTGTGTCGTATTTAGTATTGCAGTTAGTAACCTGTTGAGTAGTCAAGCCATTTGAATCCCTATACTTGTTAAAGACTATGTTTTTATGTTTTTTAATTATTTTCTCCAGGTTATCAGCACAACTATAGCTTAATTTAAGCGTATTAGGATTAAATATTTTACTAAGTGGGTTAGTTTCAGGGTTGGGGAAATTTTTCTTGTTGAGGTTTAGAAATATACGTCCTAATTTAGTTTTAAAATTATATTGAAAGGGGAGTGAATATATATATATATATATATATATATATATATATATATATATATATATATATATATATATATATATATATATATAAATAGACGATAGACAGATAAATAGACGATAGACAGATAGATAGATATATAGATAGATAGATAGATAGATAGATAGATATGAACTCAATTAATAGAGAGATACATTGATAGATCGATTGATAGATAAAGTGATAAATAGGTACGAACTGGAGCTATCTATCTATGTAGGTAGGTAGCTAGCTAGATGTTGGTACAATTTTATATTATATATATATATATATATATATATATATATGATTTATAAATATATATATATATATTTATATATTAAAACCATGTTTTAGAAAAAAATGATAGAGAAATGGAAGATTGATAGATAAATTGATAAATAATATGAATATTTTTAATCAATTATCTATCTATCTATTAATCTATCTAATAGGCTCTAGCTAAATTTACAATTGAGCAACTATTTTGTAAAAATAAAATATCTATAAGAACACCGGATTTTATATTCTTAGTTGTTCTTTCATATGCAATTTTATTTATATACATATATATATAAATATATATATATATATTCCATATATATATATATATATATGTCATTTTGGGGAAACTCTTATATATAAATAGACGATAGATAGATAGTTAGATAGATAGATAGATACTACGTTTTGAAGCATCAATTGATAGAATTGTTTAGATAAATTGATAAATATATTTGAACTGGCCTTGTTCGAACTGTATCTATGGAATCTAAAGTCACAAGCCAATTTCTTGTGTTGAAGAAAAACATCATATCTGAACATCACAACGTTGTTGGTTAGCCGCCCTATCTATAATGGAAAATTTATTATCATCTATCTAAAAGGGACGATTCTACCTAGCTAGATGTTTTGGTGAACAATTAATGAGGAGTTACAAAATCATGCTTTGTTGTTTTTAGATCAATATATACAGACATACAGAATGGGTCGTACAGGAAATTCCATGATAAATATGAATATTGTTCACATTCCAGTTAGGAATCGTCTGGTCTATTCATATGCAATGTTAGTTATAGCTCATTGACCCCATATAAAATTATTGCCCATTTATAAACAAAATTAAAAATATGTTTAAGTTTAAATTTATTCCATTTGTATCATGCAACACTTCCAGAAGTTACATATGTCATTTTTGGGGAAACTCTTGCAAATCATATAAGGGGATTTAATGTATACCTGTTATACTGGGGTCTGGCGCTATGTTTGATTTGTCAGAAAGGTGAGTTCTGAAAGCCATACTACGTTTTGATCCAAGCATCGTAAGTAAAATTGGGTACACGGAATTGTTTGGAGTACGTCCATAATTGGATTCGCGCGACGTGACCGAAGGTTTGAGCGCATTTAGGAAGCTATTGTTCGAACTGTTTCAGGGGTAGCTATTTGGAATCAGGGGTAAATTTAGGAAGACTATTGTCCAACTATTTTTCATTTAGGAAGACTATTGTTGAAGAAACACACATATGCCTGAGCAGGCGCTCACAACGTTGTTGGTTAGCCGCCCTAGACGTCTGACATAATGGAAAATTTATTATCATGGATTTACATTATAAAAGGGACGATTGTAATAGTCATATATTTAGTTTTTGTCAGAATTGTTTCAATGAGGAGTTATCATTATTTGCGTTATTTACATACTGACTATTGTCCTCATCTTTGTTGTTTTTTATCACCAGATTTGGGCTGTTATTCCTTCTGGTCTTCCTCATGTATATATCGATCTGGGTTTCGTACAGGAAATTCCATGCTGAACACTTTATTTAATCTACTGGCTAGATTGTTCACATTCCACTACTCACATCTAGGAATGTCGTCTGGTTCTTATTTTATTTAACACTGTTCAGTTATAGCTCATTCGTTTCCACTGAGTGCATATAAATACTGCTCGGACCATTGCCCATTTATAAATTTAGATAGATTATTTCATAGGTATAAATTTAAGGAGACTGTTAATATTGTCAGGGGTATACATTTGTTATTGTCAGGGGCATAATTAGAAGACTAAGGCGGCTATCAGGGATAACATTTAGTTATAAACATTTAAAGGGTCAGGGTTTTCATAGGGGTAAACATTTAGGAAGACTATTGTCAGGGGTATACATTTAGGAAGGCTATTGTCAGGGGTATACATTTAGGAAGGCTATTGTCAGGGGTATACATTTAGGAAGGCTATTGTCAGGGGTATACATTTAGGAAGACTATTGTCAGGGGTATACATTTAGGAAGACTATTGTCAGGGGTATACATTTTATTGGAAGAAGCTATTGTCATTTAAGAAGGCTATTGTCAGGGGTATACATTTAGGAAGACTATTGTCAGGGGTATACATTTAGGGGAAGAAGCTATTGTCAGGGGTATACATTTAGGAAGACTATTAGGGAAGGCTATTGTCAGGGGTATACATTTAGGAAGGCTATTGTCAGGGGTATACATTTAGGAAGACTATTGTCAGGGGTATACATTTAGGAAGGCTATTGTCAGGGGTATACATTTAGGAAGGCTATTGTCAGGGGTATACATTTAGGAAGGCTATTGTCAGGGGTATACATTTAAGAAGACTATGTTGCTTAGTGGCTTGTTTTTGCTTAGCGGCAAATCAATGTTATTTAATGCCAAAATCTAAATAATTTGAATGCCACTTTATGAGGCTTACGTTAAAACATCGTTTCTTGTACAAAATTCGGGTGATTGACGGATTGGGAAGACCAAATGCTCTATGCTTGGATGTGCAGCTGGTGTAATGAATAATGGCCATGAAATTTTAATCGGAGAGCCGAGTTCCAATTCTCATTGGGTTCGTTATATTCACTTACGTACAAATACCCTTGGCAAATATATGAGTATACATTCTACCCCAGACTATCGGTTAATTACTAATACTTGTATCACAGAACTTATTTTTATCCAGTGACTCGTAGGGTCGTAGGGTCACCATATGTACTGCAGCCACAATAGAACTGGTGTTTCTTGGGCAAGATAACCTATCGTAGTTGGTAGAAGAAGAGGATTCATACCTTTCCCAAGGGTATTAGTGAATGTAACTGGATCCAACTGAAATTCGAACTCTTTTCTCCGATTAATTTATGCACAAACATTGCACGAACTTTGAAAAAAGTATGATTACTAACCCTAACATCAACTAGAATCGTAACCCCTAACTGTAACCCTAACTCTAACGGTTAGGGTTTAGGTTTAGGGGTAGGGATTAGGGTTAGTTCGTACAAAGTTTGCGCATTAATTTATTATTTGTTTTATTTTTAATTTAAAAGAAAAGCTTTATTTAAATTTTTTTTTTTAAATTTAAAAACAAAGCTTTATTTACCACTTGCCATTGCTTTCCGACAGTACGCAGTAATTTACACGAGTAAGCGCAGTAAAAAAGAACGTTAATGACGCTATCACGAGCAACGTGTTCCGCAGTGAATATAGTTAAATAAGGCCCGTAATGGCGGACGGATGAAATTTTATTGTCGATAACAACAAAACCGTAGGTTTTATCAAAATTTGGTCGTTATTTTCGAGTTCAGAATGTACATTTACACGGAAATATGACGATTTTGGTAAAATTTTAACAGATTTTCTGTGCGGGGCTTAAAAAGCAAATTTACCAAGCAAATTTATGCCTTCAACTACAGATATTTTGTACATAATCTTATGCTTTAAGGCTAAGAGTATTTTTCATAGATATATAGTTTGTAGATGATCTATTGTAGATGTTATATGTTTTGGTATAAACCTATTTCTTTAAGGTAGGGCATTATATTGATGATCTCAGTATTTTCTAAATTTTCTCATGTTGGTTTCTTTGCAGTATTTACGTCTTACAGGTAGCAAGTGAGTACATTCAGTTAAAATATGATTCAATGGCTTGACATTTTGTACATGTTGGGTGATCTTCATTTTTTAGCAAGTACGAATGGGTGAGGTATATGTAGCCTATGTGTAGCCGAGCCACCGCCACCACATACTTTTATATTCATCTGCCTCCATTCGCCCAGCTGCTGTTGGATTGAACGAAACTTATTTTTTTGCGTTGTCCGTCTAGTGCTTCCGCCATTTCTGTAAATCTGTCTGTATATGGGTTCCTGAAACTGTTGGTTGATTTTCATTCTTCAGCAAGGATCATTGATTGGTAGGTCGTTTTTGTTTATTGTAATAAGTATAGACTTTATGAATCTGAGATAATAATTTTATTCAATGTTAAAAAATTTTCGAATCTGTTAAATTTTGTTTCGAAAGTTATGTTCGGTGGTTAGTTATAAACATTTGAAAAGTATCATTAGGTCATTGGAAGAATTTAATTTCATCTTACTGTTAGGATTTCGGATTAAACATGTAACGGATATCGGTGGGGGAAAATCCGCAATTCGATTTCAAATTCCGACTTAGCCTCCTGCATACACGTTTTTGGGAAAAAACATAAATACGTTTTTGCTCCCCATCACCAATTATTGATTAAATAGCAGTGTAGACTGAGTCCTCTAGCCTTAGGTGGCAACCTCTGTATGAATTGCAAACCACAGAGAACGCAACGCGGAAAACATACACCAATCTTTACCGACAATCGGATGGCGATTCACAGAAAATAAAGAGATAGAATCTATGGAGAACAATATCAGCTGGATCCGGATGGTAAATAGCTTTTAAGAAAAAGGACTTATTTATATGATAAATTTATAAAAATCATTGATTTTCGTCTATATTTCAGCAGTGATATCTGCTTAGTCTAGTATATATTTTCAGGACACGTCACAGTCTTGCTTACTAATATAATTAAAACGTAAATTATAGTGAAGAAAAAGAAACAAGTGGGAAATACTTTTTCATCGGAATCACCCCAAGCAAGGCAGTAATGTCATTAAAACACAAGGGTTTACAGAGTGTGTGGAAGAAATAAGAACAGAAACTTTGATGATGAGCAGGAAGAGAGTAATCAGGAGGGCAGTAGATAGCGATTGACATTGCATTTAAATTTTTGCAGATTAAAATTGGCTGCAAAGTATAGAACCGGAAGGTAATTCCACAAACGAGAAGTGTGAGAAAAAACCGTTAGCATAGAATCTACGGCTACACCTAGGCAGCTCAATTATAAATTG